GTTAGTTATTAAATTAATATTTATCAATCCAAATTAATATAGGAACAGGAAACCAGGCATATATATTACAACTCTTTCCTACTCTGCATAGGCATAATTATTTCTGCTGCATACAAACAATATATGCAAATAATATATATTATGCATATAGGAAATAGGAATAGGCATAATTTCTCGCTCGCTCTCCGTATACAAATATATATACCCACACCCTTGCGAGACGACTATCATATCACACATATTCTAAAGTAGTACATAATTTGCCAATATACAGAAACACGGAAATGGGTAGTATTCTGAAGGCCAAGTCTGGTGTCTTGTTGGTTTTGTGTCTGTTGCTGATTCCTCATGTCCTGTGTTCAAACTTGAAGGAGGAGAGTCGGACAACATACATCGTGAGGGTCCAACCAGGAATGAAGCCATCGGGTTTTGCAGGCGCACGAGACTGGAACAGAGCCAGCCTCAAAGGAAATTACAAGCATGACGAGGAGAGGTTTGTTCACGTTTATGACAAAGCGTTCCATGGCTTCTCAGCTAGATTGACGAGGCAAGAAGCCGCGCAGCTTTCAGGCCAGCCGGGGATCATATCCATTGTGCCCGACCGCCTTCACCAACTCCACACCACTCGCTCTCCTACTTTCCTCGGCATTCAGTCGAAGTCCTCTGCCAGTGACAATAACGGGCAGCTGTCGGAGTCCGAGTTGGGGTCGAACGTGATCATCGGCATATTCGACAGCGGCATCTGGCCCGAACACCGAAGCTTCCACGACCAAGGTCTCGACCCCATCTCTCCCGACATCTGGAGAGGGGAGTGTGAGGAAGGCGAGAACTTCACGAGAGCCAACTGCAACAACAAAATCATTGGGGCCAGGTTCTTCTCCAAGGGTTATGAAGCAAATGAAAACGGCCAACTCGAGGAATTCAAGTCCCCACGAGACTCCATTGGACACGGCACCCACACCGCATCCATTGCCGCCGGCAGAGCCGTCCCCAACGCCACCTTTTTCGGCCACGCCACCGGCGTTGCTTCCGGGGTCGCCCCGAGAGCACGCATCGCCGTCTACAAAGTCTGCTGGAAAAATGGGTGCATGGCTTCCGACATCCTTGCCGCCTTCGACAAGGCCATCTCAGACGGAGTCCACATAATCTCCTTATCTCTCGACTCCGGGCAGGTGCCGTTCGAGATCGACCCAACTTCTATCGGGGCCTTTGGAGCCATGCAGCGAGGCATATTCGTGTCTGCCTCTGCAGGGAATGATGGCCCGGGCGAGAGGACTGTCTCCAACATCGCCCCGTGGCTCACGACCGTCGGCGCCAGCTCAATCGACAGGCGGTTCCCAGCAGATGTCGTGCTCGGGGATGGGCAGGTCATCGGTGGCGTGTCGCTCTACGGCGGTGGCCCACTCCTCCCCAACGACACCTTTCTCCCCCTCACATACACTAACAGCTGCAACGACGGGTTCAGTGGCGACGACGTACGTGGCAAGATTGTCGTCTGCCCTCGTGGGCCCGGACAATTGGGAGAGCCCGTGGCTGAGGCCGGGGGCGCTGCTGTGGTCGTCATCGGCGGTTCCGTCTTCCAGGCCGAACATGTGCTTCCGGGCCTCACCATAGAAGAGTCCGTGGGGGACGCAATCCTCCGCTACATCAAGTCTTCAGGCGCCAACGCCACCGCCACCATCGTCTTCCACCCCACGGATCTCGGCTTCCATCCGGCTCCCGCCCTTGCTTCCTTCTCTTCCAGAGGCCCCTCATTCGAGACACGCTACTATCTCAAGCCCGAGCTGATTGCCCCGGGAGTCAACATCCTCGCCGCCTGGCCCGACGGCCTGTCCCCGACCGGCCTTTCCTCAGACACGCGACACACAGAGTTCAACATCCTCTCCGGCACTTCCATGGCCTGCCCCCACATCTCGGGCATCGCCGCCCTGCTCAAGGGGGCCCACCCCGACTGGTCCCCTGCCATGATCCGCTCTGCCATGATGACAACTGCTTACACCCGAGACAGCCAGGGCTGGCCCATACTAGACGACGGGGCCGAGGCATCTGTGTGGGCCAGGGGGGCTGGCCACGTGGACCCGCAGAAGGCCATTGACCCGGGACTGGTGTACGATGTGACCGCCGATGACTATTTCAGATTGCAGTGCCTCCGCCTTGCCCCCCCAGAGGATGACGATTACGGTGCCATCTCCAACAGTGACGGTGACGGCCACCCTCTCTACATTGGCTGCAGCGGCTCCCAACCAGCTTTCGACAACGCCGCCGATCTAAATCTTCCAGCTGTCGTCACTGTTCTCCAATCGGATATCAGTCCCGTAACCATTAGTAGGACCGTCACCCATGTCGCCGAGGGCCCCGCCACTTACAACGTCGCTGTCGTTAATCCCTCCAATGGCCTCATGCATGTGACCGTCAATCCCAGCATCATGGTGTTCAAGGCCAAGGGCGAAAAGCAGAGCTACTCGGTCACCATACATCCCATCACCATCTCTCAAGCATTCGCCAACATTGTCTGGTCAGACGGCCTACACGACGTCGTCTCCCCCGTCGTCATCTCCTGGAATTAAATTCATTACTGTACTATCATTATTACTCTTAGTTTGCTTTTATGTTCTTCTCATTTTTTCCATCTTATCAATCAGTGTACATTTGTTTGGTTGTTATTACTTGTAACTCAGTTTTATTATCATCATGAATGCTCTTTCAACTAGTAAACTTCATACTAAAGTTCCTGAAACATCACTCAATTTCAAAAATTTAACACAGATATCCCTACATCCCAGAATAGCTTCAATCACAAATTGAAAATTCATCCATTCCAATCTCCAATTAACTTATCAAACATCGTACACAACCAAAAATCCTTTTGCTCCAAAAACCAAAAATTAGGGATTCATTACCATTACTAAGAATTGAACAAAATGCAATTAAGCAAACCAGAATGAATGAGTAGAAAGCCCTCACCATCTCTTGCTGAGAATAACCCTAATCTCCCCATCATCCACGAGGACAGCTGCTCGTTTGGGCCTCAACCGGTTACCGGGATGTTTGGCCACTGGAGTTGCCGACTCCGCAGGCCCCCTCATCGATCCTCTGCTGCTCCTCATCGTCGGGCGCCGGCGGCGGTTTGTGGAGGCGCAGCTGTCGGGCAGAGGCCATGAGCCTTTCATGATGAGTGACGACTCCTGCGATGGTATTAGGGATCGGAGATGAAAAGAAATGGAAGAGAAGAGGGGTGATGATTCAATATTTAATTTCTTTCATTGATTAAATATTTCACGTGTTCGAATATTTCTTTAATTTCCTTCATTATATTATACATGTCCGTGTAATTAGTTGGTGTATATTGACTACACTTTAAATAAATAAGTAATTATTTTTACTGTGTTTAAATATATTTTATGTACTAACATTAATTAATCTATTGTAACCCCATATTATTAATATCAAATTATATTCATGACATTGGTTGTGTATAAATGTTCTACATCGTTCATACTGCCCGAGTGCCTGAACTGCCAAGTTTGTTAGGACGTGTCTCCATCCACGTATGGTTCTAATCTTCATAATATTCTTTCTTATCCATTAGTATGTCCCTACTAGACGGTCTAATCATACAACCAATTGGGCTTCCATCGAACTAGATTATCCCTTCCTTATGCTCATATATTGACCTTCAGGTCGATCAATTGACCCGCATACCTCTAGGTAGAGTTTCAACCAGGCTGTTCGAGGACTCTAGCTAGGCCTGTTGGCGCGTCTCCTAGTTGGTGTAGTTACCATCGACCTAACGTTCCAACGACCTATGTGGTTTCCGACTTTCGATCGACCTGTCGATTCGTCTGGTTCAGTTGGACTATTTTTCAGGTCGAGTCAACCCAATGTGAACCCATATCATAAGGTCCTCCACTCTGGTCGGGTTGAGATACCTCGATCTGAGTGACATCGGCTACCTTAGGTCGTGTCCTTTGAGCTCGCTACCTATTCAATTGTCCTCCGGCCTAGTATTGAGTTCAAATTTTAAATTTCAAATCTCTGCCACTGCTAGGTCAAAGTCTGTCCAAACATCCTTTCGATGTAACCGCTTTGTCATCCGTGTTGTCCTAATACAATGTACTTATTTAATGTTGTTTGATCATGGCCCTTCAATTTGCCTTTAATCCTTCAAATCCGACCTCAAGGTTACGAAGAAGGAGAACGACCGGCTCACCGAGAAAAGCTTCAAGTTGAAGAAATAGCAAGCTCGCGTCTCTCGGTAGCATGCTGATGCTCTTAAGGAGAAGGACAAGGTCAGGGAGGAGGAGATGAGTAGCCTCCAAGCAAGCAGAGATAGCAGACGATGTTGGTCATATTAAATATTAAACATCAAATTTGGAACCAATTTTGTTACCAAAAATTGGGTATACATAATTGATTTTAGTTACCAAAAAATGTGGATACGATATTAATGGTATATTTCATTCAAATCTCATTTGTTTCAAGATACACATGTTTAAAAAAATAGTCTCAGAAAAGTAAGTCAACCAATTTATTTTTTAGTCAAACTTACTGAAAAAGTATGTTTTCATCAATCTTTTTATACTACTATAGATATACTTGTGCCCGATACTTTTAAATGGAGAAACATCTTTTCGAATATTTGCTTGTACCTTTCTGTTGTTCCTTTCCGTCATTTAAATATAGTAAAATTTATTTTAGTCCATTAATAATAAAATCTCATAATCGCACTTTCTAGTCTACATTAGTTTGATACTCTCTTTATTCAAATATACAAATGTAATATATTATTTTAATTAAATTATATTATGATAAATATACATATGTTTAATTTATTTTACATATATTTAATTTACTTTACAATTGTAGATCAAGTATTATTAAGAATGAAAATTAATAATGTTTAATTATTATACTATATTTTATTTGCATTTTATAAAATTTTTAAATTATATAATATCGAAGTTGACACAAAATATATTAATAACATACATCTAATGTTATAATCGGTTCTCAATTTCGTTATCGTACGGTATAAAATGAATCGATTCGGTTCTCGATACAGATATTTATGAAATCTCTAGAGTCGTACCAATTATTCTTTTAGTTGGATTCAATTTGAAGGAAGTCAAACAATTAATTCAATTCAAAGTGCTTTCGATTCGATTTTCTAAAAGATTCGTAATTATCCGAGTCTCCTCTAAGAAGCAAAGTGCTTCAAGCAGCAGAAAAAAATAATCTTCGCACATACACAGACAAAGGGAGAAAATGGGCGCAGCACAGGCGATGAAGAGAATCCCACGCATCAAATTTCCTCAACGGCATCTTAAATCCTCTGGTATATGTGTGTGTTATATCATCTTCTTCCTAAATATATCTCAGGGATTTTATTTTTTTTTCGTATCCAACTGTAAATGGATTATTTGATTTGTGGACGAAATTGGTATTGCTTGGATAGTCGTTGTAATTAACTGCTGTAATCTTCGTATTCCTCAGGATAACCAGTTGTTGTAATCATTTTTCCTGAATAATGGGTGACGATATTGGTTGTATGTTTTTGCCATTTAGGGTTAAAGTTGAAATTCATATGTAGTTTGTAAATTGTATTGCTCCTATTTGGAACTTTTGCCTGAACTCAGGTGGGTATTGGTCGTCTCTTTTCTTAGAATTATGATATTAATATGCATGAGAAATTCAAGTATGATGTTGTGAATTGAAAGAGAAGCTCGTGCGAGTTGAAATCTTTATTTTCCGTATTTCTGTTATGATAAATAATTTCAAGGTATCAAAGTCTTGCCTAAGGGTGTGGAAAGTTTGAACTTTTTGTTGGATTTGCATGTTCTCTATAGAGTCCATATATTTTTTAATAGGCGTTAAACTTTAGATTGGATTGTCTGGAAGTTGTGTTGCATCTATTAAGTCATCTTGATCGAAAATGGAAGAAAGATTATCTTTATGGGCTATGACTTCGTATGTATATTTCCTTGGTGTAACTAGTAGTCATATCAGCAAAAGTTCACAAGATCTTTTACTTGTCAATGAAATTTGAACGAACTTGTATTGATTTTAACATGCTTAAGCTCCAATTTGGATGAGAAATATAAAGGTTCAATGTGTGTCCTGTCCCAGTAATTAGCAATTGAATATTAGGTGGTTAAATCAAGTGCACAAGTGTAATGTTGCCCAGGGAGTTGTTACTTCTACCTCAAGTATGGGATGTCTTGAAAAACTTTGTGAATCCCGAATTATTCTCCATAATTAGCATTCGGAATCTCTTCTGTTCCTTTAGGTGCTACACGCCAGGTTGATGAAATATCCGCAAATAATGACATTCATAAGAATGAAGATCTTGTTAAAAAGTTCTTCTCGAGGGCCCCATCCAGCTTGTCAGTTGGGGGAAAGGCTTCTGATCAGCCCAAAAGAACGCCAGTCTCTCAAGAAGAGATTGAAGCCATCATGGTATGTAATGCAGGATCACAAAAATATTTTTATTTGACATTCTTTGCCAGATAACGTGATATAAAGCTTTTCCAGTCTAAGTAGGGTCAAAATGATTTGGGTTTTACCAGCAGAAGAATATTTTCGCTTCTGTATATTGACCTTTCAAGCAGCTTAATTGTAGCAGAAGATGGCATTTTTTTTATGAGTTACGTAGGAATGGGGATGCGTATTGGTATGCCATGTACATTTGCCAATTTAAGTATCACATGATCTTGTTGTGTTAGTCATATCTAACTACAAAAGGTTTTGGGTACGCATATCATATGATGACTTTGTATTTGGCAAGGAAGAAGGGCGATTCACGCATTCTACATGCCATTTGATCATCAATTAGTTGATTCATTTGCTGTGTTCTTTTTTACTTTTGCAGTTGGGTGGCTGTATCTGACTCCACTGGAGCCTTGACGGTAGAGTGCATCTGTCAAACATGTTTAACTGATTTACGTTTCAAACCTTTACACTTGGCAAGACTGAAAAGCTGTATGGAAAAATTTCCAGAACACCATCTATGAACATTATTAGTAATGTAACCTTTCATAAATTTCTGGAATATACTCTGAAATCTGAATACATCCCGAGGACCTTTAAAATCTGAGTTCAATACAGTTAATTTTGTGCCTGGGATATGAAATGTAATATGCTGAGACTTATTGTGTCATATGAATTGCAAGTTTCCTGAAAGATTCCTCGATCTGTCTGTGAGAACTTAGTTATAAACAGCTGGAATAAATGTGATTCGACTCGTGCAAAGAAAATTTCTTCTATATCTAATTGAATGCAAATTACCATGAAGGTATAAACAAGTCACTTTAGTCATATTTCATCAGTACTATCAGGAATAGAGACCTTACGGCAATGAAAAACCAACCTTGCGGCTACATTAGTGGTTGCGCAAACCTTGTTTTAACTGAAGTGAATATCCTAATCCCACAGTACATGTAAAACGGATTGTTCGGATTCTTGACGATAGCAATCATGCCCGGTAACAGCAGAAGGAGGCTCTGGCGCTTTTGCTTTCACCATCTTCGCATCAAACTCCAAACACTTCAAAATCTCCCCTTTTTTCTGAGGTGGGTTTTTCTCGATTAAATTTTTTAGCCCCTTTTCGCCCCCTGGGAAACCGCCCGTCAGGCATAGTATCTCCTTCTCAAAGGCTTTTCTGGTACTTGTAGAAGTTCTAGTCTTTTTCTCTTCTGCTGATGATGATAACGATGATGGTAATGGTGCTGTTCTTTGGACCTCTTTTGAGATATCGTTTTTCAGTTCTTGCTGAAGACCCTCTTCACCATTGCACAGGCCTCTGCCACCTAGGATTTCAGAGAGGTTGAACTTGGCTCTGGGGTTGATCTTGGATGGGCAGTGTTTGGGGAGTGTGGATAATGATTTTGGAGTGGAATTAGTGAAATTTTTGTGGCCTAGAAGGTCGGATTAAAGGGTTTGGAGAGAGAAAGAAACAGCCATGAAATTTGTTTGTGTCAACTTGGGTTATGATGGAAAGGAGTCAAATGTTTTTGGGGGTTGAGAAATTTTGGCTACAAAATGGGATATGTCACATGTGAAAACCATTGATCAATTTCTACCCATAGGGCAAAATTAACTTGAATGGATTTGAATTGGAACATAAGTCATTGGATAAAGAGTCAAACAGTAATTATAATTTTCTATGATTAATATATAGATATAATGACTGAACATTGAGTGAAAGAGTTCTTTTCGTAGTAATCTATTTTTATGATCTAAGCATTTATAAACTGAATGAATAATCTAAAGTGTTTATTAACTGAAATGAATAATTTGTTTTCCTGGAGCTTTTTCAAAGATAACTGCATATTTGAAAAGGAATTTCTTTGAAAGAATGATCATTTTCGTTTCCAGTTTTTCAAACAACTTTCATAAAAAAATATTTCTCAGTCAGGCCCTGTCATGTACTCAAGGTTAAAGTGTAATTTCAAACTTGAAGGAAATTAATAATCATGATACTTAAATTGCTAATTGTCGTGCATGAACCTCATATCATTATTCATTAATCAGAATTGCGTTTTGGCTTAATCTTTTATATGTAGCAGACAAATTTTATATGAGACGGTATAATCATTCGGCTATTTATCCCGTCAATACTTTTTTTAATAGAAATCCATACTAATACAAGAGTGGAGCACAGTTTTTTCACATTTGGAAATTGCATCTCGATGAAGAAAATAAGAGGGACATGGTACAGATAGGGAATAAGGATTTTTTTTTCCTCTCACTATTTTCTTCACCAAGATCCAGTAACCAATCATGAAATTCAAGAAAATAATACACACCAAGCCTCCCATCTAAATTGAGAAACTGGTGGATAAAACCTTAAAAAAAATAATAAAAAAAAAACAGCAATTTTATTCATGGACTAGATAGCAGCAACGAAAGAGAGATCATAAGATGATGAAATTACTAGTCATTTCAAAGGGAAAAAAAAAAGGAGAGAAAAATCGTTCTCAATGTGTACTTTCAGGGGAATGATGTATCCGACTTAAATTGACCGACTCTGGCATCACAGCCTCAGATGCCTCAGGCGACACATCAGAATTAAGCAAGGGACCATACTTAACATCTACTGACTCCAGTTCCTCGTTTTTCATACCGGGCCCCATGGGAAAATCTTTGGAATGTCTTAAAGGAGCATCGGATCTTTCCACACTTTCTTCCAGTGAAGGCTTGCAATCATTGTCCTCCTTCTGAAAGTCCATGTCAGGATCAGGCTCTTCAGGATTTTCACTTATAACAGTGCTGCCAGCCGATTGCCCAGCATCATGTTGCAAGGCCTCAGTTTTGTCGTCCAAGCGCTGCATATGGTCTGTCGGGCAAAGCTTCTCAGTTTTATCTTCTTTTATGTTTTTATCTTCTTGGTTTGAATTTGAAATGACCTCAATCGGAGATTTGGGCTTCTCACCATATTCACTCCAAAAGTTCGCTTTCTGCCTCTTATAGAGAGACATTGATTTCTGCAGATCAAGTGGTGGCAAAATTAGAACAGGTACTAAAATATACATGCAAATCGAAATCCTCAGAATAACACTGTACACCATGAAGGCAAAATAATGCAATCCACAAAGCAATAACTGCTTTTATACCCAACTTCTATGATATGTATATTGTATATATCCATCTTGGTACTAGACTGAAAATAGTATACATAGTGTACACTAAAGATAGACTCTTAGCAAAGAGATTCCAAATTGTATTTTTTCCAGAAACACATTCACGCACTCAAAACGAAAAAAAGAAGTGGGCAGATTATTCGTGACAAAAGGTACCTTGAATACTAAATCATCAGCAGATGCAAACAGGGTAACACTCAGAAGTCCAGGCGAACACATTTTCGATTCCGCATCCTGCCATGAAAAACCAAAACAGAAGAATAAAATTGATGATAAACTCTACGAAGCACTCAAATAAAGCGTGTAATCAGCAAGTGCACATTACCTCCATATACAAAATTTTGGAACAATCTCCATCTGGATACATCATCTCTTCTGCATCGATCAAGCCTGCGCACTTGTCAAACAACTCTGGCTCAGAAAGATCCACCGAAAGATCGAGCTTCGAAAGGTAAACATGGCCGATGGGCATGTCATCTTTTCCCGCAACTACACCGCCACTGTCTCCCGAACTAATAACAGCAGATCCAATTTCATCATTCTTTTCAACACTCTTAGCTGACTGCCCAAGCCCAACATCATCAGCGCTGTCCGCCAGCTGGGCTAGGTTCTGGTCATTCGGTGGCAGCTGAACAGGCTCATGGCCCAAAGCTTCTTCATCCCCACTTCTAATCGAGTTGTTCTCCTTCTCGTAAGAAGGCAAATCAACACTCGAGGTCCTACTAGCCCCCTTCCATATATTATCTCCACTAGTCTCCCAGCCTCTACCGCTAGGAATATTCCTAGCGAGGTCCCATTCCTGCCTCACCCCGAAAATGTGCGGCTCGTCCCCAAACAGAGCATTACTCGTGTCCCATCCATGCAACGTGGGGTCGTCCAGCTGGCTACGCCATCCCATCGGACGGCCGGGGCCCGCAAACCGGTCAGCATCCGGCAAATGGTAAGGAGAAGGGTGGTGGCTCAGCTCCAAGGAAGGCCGGACGCCAAACACTGAAGGGGAGTGAAACGGCTGTATGACGGAATGGAAGCCGACAGGTGGCGGGCCATGCGGGAAGGGCAAAAATCCATTGGCCATTGGGGGAGGCCAAGTTGGGAGACCCCTCCAAGCATTATTATTATTATTCACTTGCAGTCTTCCGATGTTGGGCTCGCCCATCCTCCTGTGTCGCATGTTGGGCTTTCTATGGCCATCATCCTCAGCCGGGCCCATTAAGGAAGGAGGCGGAGGGGGCATCAGCTTTGAGCTGCTGGAGAAATGACTGTTCCGGGTGAATGGAGAAGAAATAGATAAGGTGTCGGCATCGGATTGTTGAGGGTGATCTTCTGAAGGGTGTATATCGGTGCCAAATTCACGGTTTGTCCTGTTTTCTCTAGCAGGATAGTCTTTCCAGTCCCTGGAGCCGCCACTACTCCGTTGGGTTGACTCGTCAACGTCGATATTTCGTCTCGCAATAAATTGTCTCCTGTCAACACTCGATGATGGGGATTTGTCAATTAGAGGGAGGGGTGAAGAACGAATGTCAGACTTGAGGCGCTTTTCAGTAGACAAGTCTCCAAATTGGGCACCATCGTCTTTTTGGGTGAGCTTCTCTGATGACCAAGATGGGGTCTTCTCAGCACCAGCATTGGCCCAGGACGAATTAATGGTGCGTCTGGATCTCTCTTCATAGTTGTAATCTCTGTACTTGGACTCATCTTGCTTCTCTCCCCTGATTCGTGATAAATAGATGTACGACACATCAGTTCAAGGGACGTGGGGCACATAGAATGAAAAATCTAATATTTCAAAATGTACTACTAAGCATGTCATGTTGGATTCACAAAAGATAATACACAAGAGGTAAACACTGTTTTGTCAAGCTAGAAAGGGAAGAGCAAATACACAGAATAACATAGAAGTTTCATGTTAACATAAAATTGGTGAAACGAGATTTAAAAGGCATTTTAATGCACAACATATATGTAATGATGTATGAACCCTCTTAATTAACAGTAAGCACAACAACAACAAACGAAGTCAGTTTGTAGCCTTCCTTTTCCACTCCCAGAATTAAATAAAATAAGAAATCTTAAAAAACGGAGTGAGATAAAATTGAAAAAGCAACTGGAGAACGTGACACAAAGGACTAGTATGACAAATTAATGTGAGTAAAAGAAATATCTGAAAAAAGAGTGTAGCAAGATGAAACAAGTCGTAAGACACCATCATCATAGGACAGGATTCCTTTCATCAGAACTACCGGTTAAAAGATAAATTGAAGCAGCAAAGGTAACATCTACATTCATCCAGAAGCAATTACACTTGTATGTACCAAAACAATCTCCCAAAGATAAGCATTTTTAAACCATAATAATATTAATTTGAGATCATTTACCCCTGACAGTCATAGGATTCGAGAACATCTCACACTTCTAATTACATGCTGTCAGATACACATTTAGATGTAATGTTAAGAGACATTAATGACAGGATAAATGGCAAACCACTACAGCAATAAGCACCTAAACGAGTTATACCATCCCACATGTAAAAAGTACCTGTAGTTATCCCTCGGTGCATGAGAACCTGAAGTGGGCGAACTCCGCTTTCTACTGTAGCCAGATGTAAGATCTACATCAACATTTCTAGAAGTAGATCTCACTCCATCACTGCCCAGATCCGTCCTTCCACTGCTAAAACTTTTCTTTTCAGCATCATATCTTTGATCCTTCAAACTTCGGGACTTAACATCGCCGTAATCCTCCTCCTCACCAGTCCTCCTCCTGCCTTGATCATCTCGATACCTACCCGCTCGATCGTCGTAAGTTGGACTTTCATCGTAACCGCTCAATTTCCTAACATGGTGATCAACAGAATAACCATCATCCCTATAACATTTGGGGTCAGATTTATCGCCCAACAGGTCTCTCGCGATATGTTTGTCCCTATACTTCGAGTCCCTCGATCTCTTCTCTCTATCATATCCATCCCATTGCTTACTATCCTTATATTGAACGTCTTTCTCGGTATCCTCTCGATATTTTTCTTCCTTATGCCTATAGTTTCTATCACTGTCGTCTCTGTAACTACTATTCTTACGCCTGTCATCTCTGTCCCTATCCTCATAGTACCTTTCGTCCCCACGTCTAACATCCTTGTCACCATCTTCATGGTCTCGGTCATCATGGTACTTGTCGTCTTTTCGGATTTTTCTTTCGACCACCTCGTGATACTTTTCGTCCTTCCGCCTGCTATCTCGTTCCCCATTATCACGGTATTTTTCATCCTTGCGCCTGCTGTCTTTGTTGACATCTACACGATGTTCGTCGTCTTTACGCCTAGAATCTCTCTCGCCATCTTCCCGGTATTTTTCGTCGTGATATTTGTTATCCCTGTTAGCTTCTTCTCGGTACTTCTCGTCCCTGCGCCTGACGTCTTCCTGGCATTTGTCAGCAAAACCTCCATCCTTGTGCTTGTCTCTGTATTTTGAGTCCTTCGTACGGTCAGCTTTGGATGACAACCGTCTCACCTCAGTTTCTTTGTACTCATTGTAATATTTATCTCGTTCGCTGGAGCCTTCTCTTTTTTTGCGCAACTTTTTGTCAGTATCCTTATCCACTTCTAGATTTTGCAAATCATTCAAAGAAGACGGATCTGCTGAGATAAGTGACTGATTCAGAAAACATATAAACTCCCATAAAAGTGAGTACAGTTCTAGTAGACATTGGAAACACCAAATATATCAATTATCTAACCTGAAAATTAAGCAACAAGTTTTTAGACTAACATCTCGCAAATAATTTTCTTAATTAACTGAAGTTTCGCTGCATCAACTAAAAAAGCTACTGGCAGAAGCATATACTATCAGGCCTGAGCATAACTCCAGATACAAGTTTAGGAACGCAGCTTCTAATCAAATAAAGAGCGACAGCCAAAACATTAAAGGTACAAACATTGAAACAAGTATGCTGTATACAAACCAGAGAAGCCGTAACAACTATAGATGACCAAAGATTAAAGGAAACACACCTTGTCAAGCAAATAATATATTTATGGAAAACAATCTATTTTACACGTCAGTATGCAACAACAATTTTGAAACATTAAACGATACTTGGTAAAACCACACAAAAATAGGACACAAGAAATCAGCCTCAAGCAATCAATCATGCAAAAGAAACTCTTGATATGTTTTAAGCAGGCTAAAAATTTCTTGCGCTTTCAATATACTGATCCAGCCCTACTCTAGTGAGTTACCTACCCGTGAAGCATTTGCTAGTTAACATAACAGAGAACAGTGAGGACAACCCAAAAAGTGAAATTCAGTGCACTGCATCCAAATTTAGAAGGCAACACAATCACATTTGACCAAAAACTTTGTCAGTCAGAAAACCAAAAGGTTAATGGAATTTGTTCAATTGTAACAAATTGGAGCAATCACCTTACATTTCTTCCGGGAATCAAACAGGAAGAACAGGCAATATCACCTTACTCATTCAACTTTATTCAATTTAAATTAATGAAACTTACAAAATATTTTCATATATGTATATATAACCATTTCAACTAAATTAAATCTAATTGCCACAAAAAATATAGTCTATACTTATGGTGCACTCCAGATGGCGATCATCCAGTACCCATACAGAAGAGGCTGTTTTTATTGGAAACGGTAGGCCACTTTACTATTCTGTGAATAATCAACAGCCGTGGTTAGATAAATAAAGAAGATTTTCAAAGCAACTGAAGAAACACTACACATCATTCTAATTCTAATATATAGTAGAAGAAAAAAAATCCAAGTGGTTGTAATGGGATCATCAACACGAATGTCAAAAAGAGAAAATTTACTAGCTACACATAAACAAGAAAAAGTTATTAGCCATGAATTTTGATACCATCAACAAATGTTACCTTACCATTGTTTTCTCGAGTTCGTTTACTCTGTCTCTCCCCAACTAAATCCTCGGACTGGGTCCCCTGCTTCTTCCCAACATCCATATCCACTAACTTTACCTCAGCATCACCACTTTTACTCTCATGTCCACCATTCTTTTCCTTTTCTGACTTACGATCTTTTTCCTTTGGCTCCTTCCCTTCTCTACGCGATGAAGAGTCTCTCTCAAACTTGCGCTTCGACTCCCCTTTGCTCTTACTCTCCGCTTTCTCCACCAGTAGGGATGATAAAAGGTCTTCTTTTTTCTCTCCCGCAGATCCACTTTCATGCCTTTTACTCTTACTCTTCGAGTCAGTTTTCAAGCTTCCACCTTTACTGCTATTCTCCTTCAATTTGTGTATTTCCTTCTCAAGCTTCAAACTCTCACCTTTGTGAATTTCCTTCTCCACAATCCTCTCGCTTTTATCCCCCCTCTCGTCTCCACCCCCATTCCACCTATCGCCAGCAACAACAGCATCCGTTTTCTGTTTCCTCCGCTTGGAGGAAGCATACTCCTCCACGGCATCTCCATTCCCATGGCCACTCAGATCTTTACCGTCCTTGCTTTCACGCGAATGAGATGAGACTTTACGCTTCTCACCAGATGCTGATTCCCTATGGCCCCGCGTGGAGCTTTCGTCCCTGCTACTTTTCTCATCAATCTTGACTACATCTTCTTCAGAGTCAGAATAATCCTTCAAACTATGTTTGCTCCGTTTATGCGATTTGTGCCTCGAACTTTTGGGCATATCTGCAACCCGTGCAAGAGAGAAACAATAAAAGCACAACTACTTACGAAACCAAAGCCCTATTTCCACATCCGGCGACTAAGAAGTGTAAAAAATTTTATTTTTCCAGTACAAAAATGAAGTTAGAGTAGTACTGTTTACCCCAATACAACAAGCAGGGTATTAGAATAAGGCCTAACCGAAGTTAGAGTAGTAATGTTTACCCCAATAGAACAAGCAGGGTATTAGAATAAGGCCTAACCCCTCGGGAAATCAGAAACCCTAATTCAACCAATCCCAACAGAAAACTTGACAACGAATCGATTCCAATCCGGCAATGAACCCAATTTGAACCGGAAATAACGGCGCCGGAAAAATCGAACGTCTGCAGTCCGGTGACTTTGGCCCCTCTCAGATCCCTGATTGCGGCGGAACAAAAAATGGGGAATCTGTCTAAGCGTTCACCCTTCTCTCTATGTTTTTAAAATGCATTTGCCACAGAAAAATAGATGGAAAATATAATAAATTCGAAAATTTTGCAGAACAGCTATAGAAAGCGTGAAGAAAAAATTGGAAAATTTTTCAAGAGGGAGAGAGATCGGAGGCGAAGTGCATTGATGTTTTTATGTTCGCTTTGGGAAAATTGAAAATGTGATTCGTAATTGGGGTATCGCGGATAACAGAGGCTGGCTTGTAATGACAGCTTTAGCCCTCGTCTAGTCATGAATTTACGAGGACTAGTAATCGACCTGTGCATTTGTACAGATATAAATAAATTATTGTGAGTCTGTATGCATATAATGATTAATTATTTTTTTCTTTCACTTTTTTGCATATCAAATTTACAATTAAAAGAGTTGGAATATTTTTTTTTTAAATTGCGTGTATATGATTGGATGTAATGTATATTTTGGTACGTCTTTTATTTGTGAATTATTTATTATTTATTTAAGAATTTCAAATATATATTTTATTTAAAAAAAAATTAAATGTAACAACAATAATAACATCTAATCACATTATACGGTCAACACATTATATGGTCAACTGTCATTAATAAAAAATTTAAAATAATTTTTGTAATTTTGAAGTGATGAGTATTAATTATTTAATGATTAAATGAAAGATTAAATACATCAAAATGTAACGGTTTTTGGAGGGAAAATTGTTAAATTGCCACATAGGTAAAATTAAATAGGTTTTATTAAATGTTTTGAGCTAGTAATTATATATATATAGATTCGTTCTATCATTCATTTTTATTTCGTTCGTCTAGTTATGATTTGTAATCCTAGAAATTAGAAATCGAATTAAAATAGTGTATAGTACTTAAAATTGAATATCGAATCTAAATATGTACATATTCGATTCAAAATTATTGAATATTTAATTTATTCATTATGTTCTTATGCTATTTATATTTAAGTTATCATATTTAATGTATTTGAAAAATATGTATTATATTCAAATACTATATAAATATTTTTGAGTATTTATAAATAGGTTTTGAAAACGAATACCCAATCAAATCAAATTTATTCAATTATCTTAATCGAGTAGAATACGAATCACACATTAAATTTGATAAAATTAAATTTGATGATGGATCGAATACGAATGCGAATAGTCGGATATTTTGACTAATTCGAATCGAATAGTTGAATATTCGCTTCGATTCGATTTGTTTACAACCCTATCTGTGCCACTTTTTATTGAGAAAATTATTATTTTCAATGAACGTAGGAGACACGTACAATTTGGAGGGCAAAACACCATCTCAAGTGATGCCTCGTGGACTCCATCTGACTTAAGTTTTTTAACAACATTCTCTCTTGAAATTCAAATTACGGAATTTAGTGTTCTTCTCTGAGAAGCTCTTACCAATCTTTCCTTCTTTAATTTTCAATTAAAAAACCTAACAAAGAACAACAATTGTGATGGGGTGAAAAAATACGCGATAGTGAAGCAAACATACCACCTTGAAGATTTTGTCACATTACGGTTTGTTGTTTTATTGTTTTGAACCTTAAGCTTGTTAGGTATGCTGTAAAAGTTTAGCTTTCAAACAGGTGAATCAGTTCCCTCAAGCAACTGAGACTGTTAGAAAGTACTCTTCCTCAAATCCAGTTTGAAACTGAGCTTTTAAACGACACAGGCCCTTCAATATGAATAAAGTAAGGTACCTCATGGTTTTCCCAAGAATTAGTATACATAATCGAGCTTTGTAAGAGAAGAGTTTTTACACATTAATTTTCATAAGTCAATCTAACTTCTTGACAAACGAAATAAATAGTCAGCTCTCTATTAGACTAAGGGTCGCGCGCTGGAGCAACTCACTAACGCTACGCCGAGCACCAGCCTTACACCCGACTACGAGTCTGCCCGAAGATCCCGGGCAGCGAGTCTAGTGTCTTCACCTACAACTTTAAAATTGTCATCTTCAAGTGCTCCAGTGGGCGATATTTAGAATCTTAGAGTATTCTTTTAGTTAAAGCCCATGACGGCTATAATCACATCCATATAGTTCTAAGCGAGAGTATAAATAGGGCGAATCACAAATTCTTGTAAGAACATTGAAATTATACGAAAATGAATTTGACCAAAAAAAAATTCACATCCAACTGTGTCCCTTTAAGGCAATATAAGTTATAACACCAATATCACACAAACTGTCAATACATTTAAGTTATAACACCAACATCACACACACCACAAAGATCGCATGATGTAGTAGCATACAACTTAGAAAAGACCACAACCACACTTTGAAAAGGGACAACTCAAAATGACACTAAGTTGCACAATCTCACTTGTAAACTCAAGCTAGTTGTAGCCGCTTAACTCCACCCCATCATTTTTCCCAACAAACAATCCATCCACCCGAACAGAGACAACCGCCAATTTCTTTTGAAGACCAGAAATCCAAAGTAACCCCAAAATCCAGTGGCAAAACCACTAACTATAAATGCATAGAGGTATAACTTATCAGCTGCATTTTTATTATCACCATGTTCCCCACCATTTTCATCTTCGGGCGGCGTTCTGTTACCTTCACATTGTTGGGCCAATGGAGCCCCGCAGAGTCCAGGGTTTCCCTCATAATCCGAACTTCCGTTGAGTGTTTGGAGTTGAGGTCCCGTCGGGATATGCCCATACAAATTGTTGTTGGACAAGTTCAAATGACTCAAAAATGTCAACTTTGATAAGCTATCTGGAATTGTTCCAAACAAATAATTGTTGGAAAGATCAAGTGATTCGAGAGACATCATATCTCCAATCATTGATGGGATTTTTCCTCTTAGATGATTATGAGACAAATTGAGACCCTTTAAGCTAGTGAGGTTCGTTAGCTCAGAAGAGATTTCTCCGACTAATTGATTACTTAGAGATCAATATTGACCAAAAATCTTGTATATTCGGTATACTCCAGCACCACTCCCTTGAAGACTTCACTTAAGGTATTGAACGAATCGTATTTTCCAACCCCTACGAGACAGTCATTTTTGAAAAATATATTTCCCTTGTGCAAGTAATGTCTATACAAGTGTTTAGATAGCTATACATACTTACAAATTGCTAAAAGCAAAATGGATCATTGATCGACCATGCTCAATTTACTATTTATCACCCTCATGATCAAGTCACATTTGGCTTCTTTTATGAATATAAACAAAAAAAAAATAATCTTTTTTTCTCTTATACTTAGAGGAACAATACCCCGACTCCACAAGACTAACTTTTCTTTTATTAATATAGCGAACAAAAAAATAATTTAAAAAATCCAGTTCATCTAATCAAAAGCCTCTTGAGATCATTTGTAATGAACCAAGAAATATTGAATTTACTCAATAATATTATGTAAACTATTAAATGAATGAATGCTTACTGAGAGTGGTGTTATCATGAACCATTCTCGAGAAATTTCCAAAGCAACGTGAGATGGTTCCTGTCAACTGGTTGTTTGCGAGATCCGTTATTTGAAGTTTTGACATTTGACAAAAAGAGGATGGAATGTCGCCGTAGAATTTGTTGTTCCTTAGCCTAAGAATTGTCAGATTAAGCAGATTGTTTCCAATTCATTCCGGGACTTTTCCTGACAACATATTATCTCGAATATCCGAACCCATTAACTGGGTGCAATTCTTCAAATTTGGGGGGAGCTGCCCTATAAAACTGTTGTTACTCAACTGCAACCATGTCAATGAGTAAGCTCCACCAATGGAGTTTGGAATAGGCCCCGAAAGCTGATTAGATGACAATGTTACAACCGTTAAGGAAGGAAAGTCTCCCCAACATTCTGAAAGGTAACCTGACAAAAGATTATTGGAGAGAAAAAGGTATTGGATTCTGAAAGGAAGCTTTGGAATAGATCCATCAATATGGTTGTTAGATAGTTGTAAATCAGTCAGATTTGTGATGGAATTGAGCCATCTTGGCAGCGTGCCTCTAATGCTACAGTTAAGGAGATACAAATTTTTGGAGAGATTTTTTTGTTTGAAGCCACTGTGGAAATTGGCCTACGATATCAAGGGATGACATACCAAGGGATTCTAGTTGAAAATGAGCCATCCAATCATCTCTCACTCTGAATTTTAACATGTTAGTCCCAACCAAAAAGACCTTTAGTTTGAATAGGTTCTCCAAGTGGGCCTCCGTGAGCGTACCCTCAAAGGCATTGCTAGATAGGAAAATGTACTCCTAATCTGAAAAATTGTCCCAAAATAATTGGGATTGAACTAGACAACTTGTTATCAAACAATTCTATCTTCTTTAACTTCTTCATTTCACCAAGTTCCTTAGGCAACTGCCTGTAAAATTCATTACTCCGCAACTGTAGATTCTCCAAGTTGTGGCTCCAGCATCTCGATAAGTTTTTAAATATTATCGAGATATCTCTATGAAAATGATTACTCCCTAGGTTCAGTGATTTCAAGTGGCATTTATCACACAACAAATCAGAGATCCATTATGTGTTGTAATTATGTGAGTTCAAAGCAAGATTGAGATGTTGAAGGTTTCTCGATAGAAGAAAATAAGGGTCCAATGAGGTGAATTGGTTGTTGGAAAGATCAAGAAAATGCAAAGAAATGCAATTACGGAGAACACATGGAATATCTCCTTTGAAGAAATTGTCACTCAAATCTAAGTGTTGGATATTGGTAGATAGTGTGGAGTTTAAGCAATTAGTATGAGGTAGGTATGTGCTACCAAGTCCACTGCCTGACAAGATTAACACTTGTAAAGAAGGAAGCGTATTGAGTAGCGTAGCAATGTGATTTTTTGTTGGGCTAAGGTTGACATAACTCATATCAAGGGACTCCAACAATGAAAGATTACCAGCCCACATGAGATTGTCGACTCTTAGAGAAGATTGCAATCCACCAAGATCAAGTGCACGCAAGCTTGAGAGGTTGCCAAGCTGATGAGGGATAACACCTCCAAAGCCTGCATTGGACAGATTGAGATATTCCAACTGCTTTAATAATCAGAGGAATGCTGGAATCGAGCTGCCCTTGAAATTATTGAAGCTCAAGTCAAGGTACTTGAGATACTTCATTTCAAGGAGAGAAGAATTAAGTGTTTCACTTTGTTACATGCTATCAAAGTTCGGGTACCCATAATCATTTTGAACTCGATTTTTGAGATCAAGCTCGATAACATGCCCAGTCGCTTTATCACACTTTATGCCTTGCCAGGTACAACATGTGTATCTGGTGTTATTCCAAGAGGAAAGCCTGTTAGACTTATCCAATAGGCTTGCTTTCAACCACAGGAGAGCTTTATTCTCCCTTGGAATGCAATCAATAAAAGTGAAATTATTATTTGATGACATGCAGAATATGGTGGGCTCAAATATTGTTAAGAAGAAGATGACGGGGAAGAGCATTGAAGAGAGCACCATTTTTTCCATTTTATTATACATATATATCTGTTGGATATAGGCTTGAAAATAAGTATAGGAAAGTTAGATGTTTGTGGTACTACATTTAACCATAAGACTCTATTATATAACCACTCATCATGATGTCACATATGGTTACGTTAGTCATGAATGATAGTGGAATCCAGAGTACCAATAAGCGCTCGCATTGACTTGAATCTGAGTACATCATTTGTTGTGTTTTCCTCAATTTGTATGCTTCGATATAAGATGTTTTTATTTTGTTTGGATTTTTTAGTTCGATATGGTTTATTTTAAAAAAAGTGGTATGATTTAGTTGTTAGTGGGATTTTATGTTTATATTAAAATAATATTTAAAATATAGTAGTTAAAGTTGATTTGATATAAAAGAATGAGAAAAATGATGTGAAGTGGTAGTTAGTTAAAATCATGTGAGTTGATGAATATTGAATTAAAGTTGATTTAATGTGTAAGAATGATTGAGTGATATTATTTAATTATATTAATATGTTGAGGGTAATAGAGTTGAATTAAAATTAAGTTAGATTTAAGTTAAAAAAGAAGTGATTAGTTATAAATGATTGGATTTTTTAGAAATCTCAACTTCCCATGAAGCTGTCGTGGCCCTCTCTTATTATGAAATGCTTAAATGCATTTGTTAAAATAATTGTGGAATTATCAACCAATGGACACTGGAGTTGACTTGACTTAGAGTAAATCTATTGTACATTAATTCTGTAGTCGTCATGCCGTGCAACATACGTCAGAAGTGTTGTTTGAATTATAATCAGACTATTTATACTTGACTTTGATTTTCTCTTATATTAGGTGCAGTTACAAAGATCAAACATGGATACCTCCAAACTACACAGTTGTTTCGATTTTTAGCTGATAGTAATTTAACAAACTATTATAATTGAGCTCGTTGGGCTGCAAGAAAATCAGAATGAATTCAAGCCCATGTGTAAGTTTGCGACTATTCGGAGCCACAAATAACGGGACGAGTTTTTAATTCAGTTATTTTTAGCATCCATGAAAGAGCATAGTGATTATAGTCCTCGTCATTAAATAATTGTGGACCTCTTATCCTGCTATAGTATTTTAGTCTTATGTGTGGAAAAAATATGTCATTCTTGAGTGCAAAACACTTTGGCTCATTGAGCTACAAGCCTACAAGAGTTTGGATGAATGCAACCTCATTTATAAGCTTGAGTCTATTTGGACTTCACATTTCTTGTCATGTATTTATATATTTTATAATTATAAATATAATGTGAATTATATGCGACATATATAATTATATATGGCATGAAACAACGAATATGCATGGTTATATTTGTTGTTATTCCATTGTTAATGTTATCCTCTGTTTAATCACTCTACACAATGTTTTTAAAAAATTTAATGTCAACTATTTGTGAATCTGTCCATCTAAATACTCTTAATTACAAAATATTATTGGATGAGTATACATATATCTATACACATCCTCCGTGGTGATTAGAGGTTACACTAAAAACTCGAATGTCGGTATTTTTATTTTTCTATATTGTTTTGAGAATGTACAGATTATGTGATCATTAGTGATATAGTTGGGACTTTTTGGTCTTTTGAAGGTGCAGAAGACTTCCTTTAATCCGGCATATCGACAAAGTCCCAAGAATTAGTAATTACTATCAGAATTTTATTTTTTATTTTTATTTATTTATTTATTTTTTTTGCCATGCTATGTCTTGTGTTTTTTATTATATAAATAAATTCATGCAATTTTCAGCTAAATTGAAGAGGAAATAAAAAATTTAACAATCTTGGTTCCAATTTTCATTTTCATATTGTAACTTCCGGTCTACTTTTTAAGCTTCATTTGCAGATTTTGAATTTAGAGAAACAAAAAAATCAACTAAAAGCCTGTCTTTTTCACCAACACTTACGGGGGTACCAGTAAACTGGTACCGATTCACCGATTCAACTGGTTTCGAACTGAATCTTCGCCATTTAAGAAAAGAACAAATCTAAAATATGATTAATCAAATTGAAAAGGAAACAATTTTAACCCAAATGGAGAAGAAACTTCCCTCCTAAAGGCCAACAATCTCAATTTAAAAAATGATAACCTAACTAATAAGTCAATGTCCACCTAAACAGACTCAATAGTATACATAGCCCCAATAGGATTCTTACCACATGAGCCTAAAGCCCCAATAACTCAATTAAATAAAACAGCAAATCCATATCTAACATCATATTTCCATTTTCCCCACGAAAATCAAAATCATCTCAATTTCTGATTTCTTCCACAAGAAACGGCAATGGGAACTGATTCCACTATTCACCTACGATTTTCCATTTCCATGTAATAAAATTTACCATCAACAGAATAAAAAAGGGGCAGCAAAAGGTCATCTTATGCTCATAGAAATAAAACATTACAAACCAAACGGGCCCATAGGGCTGTTCAGCTATCATTTTTAGTTAGATCCATGTTTGGCAGTCTCCTCAGCCCGTGTCAATGCATCTGCAAACACATCCACTGTCCAATCCTTGACATCTTCCTGAGAAATTGCACCAGCACAATCGAGAGCATCAGGTCTTAGCTCAATTTAGAGAACTATCACGTTACAAAATTAATCAATCAATCAATAAATAAGTAAATATGAGAAACTAGCAAAATTCTCTTTGAATTATGTTTAAATTACTTCCATATTAGTTATAGATTTGTTACAAATTGATGGCCTCTTGAATAACTCAATGGGTAGTGCTCGACGCACTCATTAACATTTGGTTCAGATGGAGGCGCATAATAAAACGAGTCGATTGAATTGAATCGATTTGAGGTTGAGGGACGTTGTATATAATCCGATAGGGGAAATAAACATCTTTTTCCAATTGTAGTCTATGCAAAAATGAGATGTCTGTAACTTATATTTTGTCCTGAGATATTCAAATTGGTTTTATCCTAAGGTTTACAACAATTCATAAAGTAAAGTAAAGTGAGAAGGAAAATATATATATATATATATATATATATATATATATATATATTACAAATCTTACCCTATGAAGTGGCTCCCCAGTTCGTATTTTTGCATTGGGGCGTGCTATCTTAGATTCAAATGGTGTCCTTGGTCTCACTTCTTGAATTGCATCCCATTCTTCACGAGTGAGCATCCTTACACTGCCCAGGCCAGGGGTCTCCTTTATCTTTCGCTCAATCCTTTCCTGTTCTGTGGAGTCATCATACTGCAGGAAATAAATTTGGCATAACTTCAATCCAAATCTTAGTTTCTCAAATCTGTGCAGTTTTCAAGGGTTTTTTTTTTCTTTTTTTCTTCAAAGTTTCAACTCCTTTTTAGTCCTCTTATAGCTTTTTTCAGGGTCTTTTGTTTTTCAATTTCTATCTATAATTTTATATGGCTCTTTTTCTAATTTTCAGTAGTCCCTTTTTTAAGTCATGTCATCTATGTTCGAAATTGCAATTTACAATTAAAATACCACTCATTCACAACTCTCAGAGATTTGATTCTTAACCTAATGATGCAAAGATCAACCGAAACAGAAAAGAACAACAGAAAATGAAAAAGTTTCTCACCATCATGAGGAGCTTAGCAAAGAGAGCAGTCCCCACAACGGTGAGTAGCATTGGCATGGTTGCTGTATCAAGGAACTTTTTCGACTCAGGAACATCCACAAGCAACTTATTCTTCCTGGGATTTCTTGTTTTCCTCTTCTTCTCTAACTCAGCAATTTTCCTTTTCAAGGTTTCACTCGGGCCATCATGTGACAGTTTATGCAGTCCACGGCAAAAAAAGGGAGAAAATTTCTGATGAATTCCACGTAGAAGGAGGCTCATATCTATTAAATCGACGATAATGATGGCCGGAAGCACTAGAGAATAGAGAACTTCAAATAAAGTTTCTGCTGCCCAAAAGTATTGAATAAAGTTATTATATGATGATAACTGGTAGAATATACAAGCAATATTGGTATAATCTGTGGAGTCATGATTCCAAGTTTTCGACAGATATTTAGATCTCATCGCCAGACGCACAATGAGCAGAAAAGATGATAAACAAAGGAGATTCTAATGAGTAATGACAAAGTTCAAGGATAAATTCTTAAAAACAAAATAATCCTTTTGGATTGAGAAATTCGATTGGATTGTGTAAAATTCATACTATGCATCGATTCAATATAAACACAGATAGGATAATAATCATATGATCATGCAAAACTTACTGTCTCACAGCTGACTGATTTCATCCGGCTTCAAGCCTCCACGTAAATTCGGACTAGTGACTCTTATTTCAAGCCTCCATAATTTACTCGGCTAATTAGCTATTATACGCCGTTAACCTAAGTTCATGAACGTTGGTATGGTTACTTACTAGTGCATTCGGCATCAACCGATCCCCTAAATAAATAACTCTACTAGTGCCATTGGCATTACCCAGTCCTGCTAGTAGAAAACTTAACTGATAATTACCCGGCCTAGTGACTCTTATTTCAAGCCGCCATGGTAAAGTTCACATCATACATTCGGCCCACCGGCCCCCAATCACATGCATATAAAAACTATACTACCACATATTTATAAAGAATAAACCATAGTATAGAACCTCCACCTGATAACTGATAACTGATGATGTGAGGAACAAGTGTAGATGAAGAGTAGTTGACGTCACTTGAAACAACTCTCGAGATTCGACTCCTCGAAATCTACATTTTAAATACTTATCTTATTAATAAAGGCGGACAAGCAAAAACCAGCAAGGGCAATTAAACATATAATGCCGACAAAACAAACAGAGCAGACAAATAAAACAGATAAAACTTCTATTAGAACGTCTCGACTTATTTAGACTCGTATAGAGTTCTCAGGCATTCATACTAAGGCTCGAAAAAGGCAGCATGAACCAGGTCTAAGGCTCTCTTATTTCCTTAAACACACAGCAACAATACTAAGGCTTTAAGAACTGAACCTTAACTCTAAAATTAACAAAATTAGCACAACAAGAACACATGACAACAACCTCAAGATTAAACGACAATCAAGGCAACAATAACACACACTTAAGCTCTTTTTCTTGAAAAACTAACACATGCCTCCAAGTTGATTCTTGACTGAAAATAAACCTGATGGAACTTCACATTTTCAGCATTTAATCACCCTAAAACAGAGGTTAAAGTCTTAACCAAAATAAGTTCCATAATATGACTGAAAGTCCTTTAAATCATTTTATAATCTAAGCATGCTTTCTAAACTCCAAAACTTAAATTTAAACATCAAAATTCTGCCTTCATTCATCACATGACAACACCTTAAGAAGACATGCCCAATAGCCTCAGTCAAAATCGAACAGGACATCAATAAGGCTTAACTCAACATATATGCATTCTCTTTTCTCAACAAATCTAAAGCTCAAGAAGGCTTTAAATAACTTAAACTAAATTTGAAATCTAAGCAAAAAATGGCGTTCAAATGGCTCAGCCACACTAGGTGAAATCAGAGCACAAAACAAGGCTCAAACTACAACTTCAAACTTCTAAAATTTACCAAAAATTCACAAACCACAAGCATGCTATATAACATACTCAAAACTGAAAATAAAGCATAGTATATCACATCAACTCAGCTCAAAACAAAGGTGACATGGCTCAGCTAAAAGGTTGTACCTTTCTCGGTGAAAAGGGAAGAAAGGATTTTCGGTGACGGCTAAACCAGTGCGGGTCTGTCGGGGTTCTCCTCGGCTGTGGCTGAGCTCTCACGGAGATGGCAGGGCTTGCTGCGGCTGGTTTTCAGGTGGCACAAGGGCCTTGGATGCCGTTTCTCGGTCTCTCTGCCGGTGGTCGTTCTCGCTGGAAAGCCTGGAATCTGGTTCGGGATGGGGAAGGCCGCGTGGTTCCAGACGTCGGGAATCTGTCTGTGGTTCGCCTACCCTCGAAGGAAGTTCTAGGTCACTGGCGCTCGGCTCGTCGGATGACCGGAGGTCGGTTCGCGGGTCGTCGGGAAAAATCGCTGCCCTGCCACCGTGGGATTTTGTACGGATCGAGAAAAATGTGAGGCGGCTGAATGAGAGAAGATGAGGCGAGGGTCTGAGGGCTTTAATCGATCTTTAAATCGAGCTAAATCTGTTGACTGATCGCGAAGAATGGGGGATATCCCGTTGATGATGCGAGAGAGATCGGGAGAGAAGCCGAGGGATTTGGGGGAAGAGATTTGGTCTCGGCTACTATGGGCTTGGAGTTCTAAAGGGAATGGGCCTTATTATATATAACTTAATGTGGGCTAAGCAATAATTAGGCAACTAGAAATTAAATTGGGCACATATAGCATAAAGAGGAATTTACACTGTATACCATCCGATATACTTAGCATAAATAAGCACAAACACACTTAGACATAAATAATCACTTAGCATTTAATTCATAAAAGCACATATTCATTTAGAAAACAAAACATATAATCACATAGTTCACTTAAGAAAATAATTAATTCACATAAGTACATTAATCAAAATAATCACATAGGAAAATAAATTAACACTTAGGCAAAATAATTCACATAAGGACACTTAGCAATTATAAATGCGAGAACACACTTCAAAATTCAAATAATCACTTAGGAATAAAAATCAAATAATCAGGAAAATTGTCAAATAATTAATTCAAATATGAAAGATATTTTATTTTGGCATTAGTTCGATAGTTCGAACAAGCACCTGGAACCACAGAATAAAAAGGGAAGATCTTTACACACTATATTTCTTTAAGTAATATTGTGTTATATTCCATATGAAAATCCATGTATATCTTATTACGGTTTTTATATAGGTAAGTGCACGTGGAGAGATAAAGAAAAAGGAGAAAAGAGACATGCTAGGAGAGGAGATCAATGAGAGAGAATAGAAGATTTCTTGCCATAGTTATCCTATTATCTTGGAAGGAAATCTTGAATGAAGACCTATGCCTTGTAGAAGACTCCAACCCTAAGGAGATCATATATATACCCTAGAAGAAGCTCATGGCGGCTGTGGATCCAATACTGAGAAATATTCGAGCGCCATTCAAGCTTCATTTGGTTTTTCGGTTCTATTTTGATTGTATTCAGTTCAGTCTAAGAGTTCTTACAAACTCGAGGACTGGTACTGCTTTCGTTTTGTTCTTTAGTCATTTCATCAAAACTATTTTACGATTTGTACACTTAGGGAATAAGTGTAGGAGTTTAAGTCTACGGGACGTGGCCGGAGGATTAGTTGATAGGATCAAGTAGTGTTGGCTAGATTTAAAGGGAGTTTGAATCTTTGTAAGTCCAAACTATGTGTACGAGTGATCTATCAATGAAAGAGCTCTGAGGGGAAGTGGGACGCTTCCCTGAAGAGTTTGTAAATCTTCGGTTGTTTGCTTCCGCATTTTACAATTCTTATTGTTGTTCTTACTATAACTCGCGCACTCCGTGACAAATATACGTTTCAATTGGCACCAGAGCAGTGTTCCTGTTCTTACTACGGGATAAAGATCTTTGGGACTGTGTGTTGGTCACCATGAGTCACGATGGAATGTCTGTTTCGCGCCCTCCGTTCCTTGATGGAGGAAATTATGCTTATTGGAAATCCATGATGGTAATTTTTCTTCGTTCCCTTGGTAAAGGCACGTGGCAGGCCGTTGAATCAGGATGGTCGACACCACTCATGCCAAAAGCTCCCGCTGAATTTAAACAAGGTGAACCTTCGGATTCAAAGTCGTCTATGTCTTCCACTCAAGTTCTTGTTGAAAAACCAAGGAGTCTTTGGACTGACGATGAAAAACAAGCGGAAGAAGCGAACTTTCGTGCTTTGTATGCCATCATGTCTGCAGTTGACCTAACGCGTCATAAGATAATCATTCAATGCACCACCGCTCAAGAAGCCTGGAGGATTTTAGAAAGACAATTTGAGGGTACAAATGCCGTGAAAACCTCAAAGCTTCAAAGAGTCTCCACTGAGTTAGATGAGATTCGCATGAGGGAGGATGAAACTATTGATATGTACTATGCTCGTTTCTGCGACCTAGTCAATCAAAGTGCGATGCTTGGTTAACCGGTTCCAGAGGCTAGACAAGTACAGAAATTAATGAGAACTCTGCCGGATAGGTTTGGAATCAAGATCACAGCACTTGAGAGCTTCCAGAGGATTCAGAAACTTGGCATTGACGATCTCCTCAGTGAACTTCGCACCTTCGAAATCAATCATGGTTTTGACTCTATGAGGATAAGCAAAGGGAAAGGCTTGGCGTTGAAGGCCAAGGTTCGCACCTCAGTAGCTGAAGAGGAAGAATCTGATGAGGAATCCTTTGACCCTGATGAAATCACCAAGGCACTTACTGTACTCTCAAGAAATGTCTCGAAACTGAAGAAATTTCAGAAAAAAAGGTTTCAGGGAAATAGGTCATTTGATGGTGGTAGGAACCAAATTCAGCAATTCGGAGAAAAGCGTTCTGGTTTACAGCTGAACAAGGTTCCGAACTCTATTCAAGGAGTAGAGAAGGATCAGTGCCGTGAATGCAAAGGCTTTGGACATTTCCAAAAAGATTGTCCTAATTTCAAGAAGAAGAACAAGACTTTCAAGGCTACGTGGTCCGATTCCAGCGATGACGAGGACAACGAATCTGAAACAACTGAGAATTCTATCTACTCAAATAACTCTGCTAAATGTCTTCTTAATGAATATAACTGTTTTACCTCTTCAGTTCATCTAACTGATATTGAATCTGACGCAGGTTCTTACGCAAAAAATTTGAGCGAAGTGGACTCTGATGAATTTTCGGACCCAGCTGCCGAGAATCTTGTACTTCACAAGTACGCCATTGAAAAGTGTCTCAAGGCAAGAGACATCATCAATAAGTACCATACCCAGAAGCAGAAGATGAAGACTTTGGAACAACGATCCAGCGAACGTGAAAAAGAGATTGACTATCTTCGGAGCGAACTTCAAAAGATGAGAATGATGACAGTCGATTTGAACGAGAAGCTTATTAAATCGGATCTCCATACCGCAAAGCAGGATAAGGACTTAAACAGTTGTTTTGCAAAACTTGCCTTGGTTGAACATGGGGATAAACTCAACAAGCAGGCAAGTGACGAGCTGAATTTTATTATTGAAAACTTACGTAACGAGTTGTTTGCTTTGCAAAATGTTACAGGAGAGAGAGAAACTGAGATAGCCGTACTCAAGGAGGAACTCGGGAGATTAATGGAGGAACACATGACACTTAGAAGTCATTGCTCTACCCTTGAAGAGAAGTTAGGTAAAAGCGAGGAAGTCGTCAAGATGATCAATAAACTCAAGACCTCATATGCAGAAGTTCAAAGACTAAGTCAACAGATTGGTTCATCCGACTCGAGTAAGAACCTCCATATTCAGAAACTGAAGGGGAAGGTCGGAGAATCAGACACTTCATTAAGGAAGACATGTCTGACTTTTGTTAAAGAGGGGTACACACTTGACTCCAAAAAGGGTAAGCCAAACTCCCCAAAAGCATCTCACAAAGATTCAGGTAAGAACTTTGTACCCGTTTGTCACTACTGTGGGATTCGAGGTCACATTCGTCCCAAGTGCTACAGAATGCACAATGATATATATACGGGTCGAATTAATGACTGGAGTCCTCACGGTGTTCCCTTGAAAGCACCTAAACTCAAAATTGATATAGTGAATCAGGAACAGAAAAAGATCTGGGTTCCAAAGGTAAATAAGAACGTCTGTCTGTCTTCTATATTTGCCTTAAAATCCACTTCCAATTCTGACTGGTACTTTGATAGTGGTTGCTCTCGTCACATGACAGGGATAAAATCCAACTTGGTTGATATTGTGCCTGTCTCATCTAGTTCAGTAACTTTTGGTGATGGAGCTAAGAATAAGGTTCTTGGAGTAGGGTGTTTGAATGTTCCTGGTCTGCCTAAACTTAAAAATGTTCTTTTGGTTCAAAACTTGAAGGCAAATCTTCTGAGTATTAGTCAATTGTGTGATCAGGGTCTGTATGTGAACTTTACTAAAACTCAGTGTCGTGTGTCTGATCAAGAAAACAAACATGTTCTTACTGGTACTAGATCTAGGGATAATTGTTATCTAGTGGAATTTGATTTGAAGTGCAATAAAACCAGTACTGATATGACTGAACTATGGCACCAAAAGTTAGGACACATTAATTATCCTCACTTACTTGAACTTTCTTCTACAGGGGCTGTTCGGGGATTGCCCAAGCTGAAAAAGGAAGTACCACGGGTGTGTGGATCTTGTCAAATGGGGAAACAGAAAAGGGCGTCTCACAAGAGGTTGACTGAGATCAGTACGAACCAGATAATGGAACTGATTCACATGGACTTGATGGGACCGATTCAGGTTGAAAGTTACAGTGGTAAGAAGTATATTCTTGTCTGTGTGGATGATTACTCTAGATTCTCTTGGGTTGATTTCTTAAAAGATAAATCTGATGCTCTTGATGCTTTTAAAAAACTCGTGCTGAGACTTGAGAATGAAAAGCGAACCAATCTTGTTGCCATTAGAAGTGACCACGGTAAGGAATTCGAGAATCGTGGTTTTGAACTCTTTTGTGAATCTCGTGGAATCTTTCATCAATTTTCTTCTCCAATCACTCCACAGCAGAATGGAGTCGTGGAGCGTAAGAATAGAACTCTTCAGGAAATGGCGAGAGTGATGCTTGTTTCCCAGAATATGTCCTTGAGATGGTGGGCCGAGGCGGTTAATACTGCATGCTATATAACTAACCGTGTGTATTGCAGGAAAGGAACCGGACTGACTTCTTATGAATTGTGGAAAGGTAAAGCACCTAATGTGAAGTATTTTTCATATATTTGGATGTAGGTGCTATATTTACAATGACAGAGATCATCTTGGTAAATTTGAGTCTAAAAGTGATGAAGGTCAGTTCCTTGGTTATTCTACTAACAGTCGTGCATATCGTGTTTATAATTTGCGAACTGAAGTAGTCATGGAGTCCATTAATGTGGTCTTTGATGATGTGTCTGAATGTGTTGTTATGCCTGATGTGTCTAAACTTGATGTGTCTAAGAATGAGGAGGTGTCTAAATCTGATTCTGGAAGTGTGTTGAATGAAGTAAAAACTGAAACACCTGATTGTGATGAACATGTAATTGTTAATGAGTATAGTGTTCCTACGAACCTTGGAACTCCGTCTGAACCTAAGCGCGATCCTCCCGCCAAAGTTCAGAG